TATTTGTTCCTAGGGACAAAAGATACACGATGATGTTTGCCTAACTAACATACCTCACTCTGTATTAGGCACAAACTCAAAAATTGAACATAAAGGTTGGATTGACTTTCAGAGCTTTAGCTATGGATGGCAAAGATGATAGTTTCACAGAAGAGGAGAATCATTTGCCTATAAAGCAATTGGACTTAAAATCAGAGAATTATGTTAGTAGAGACCATTCTTCTAATACTCACCATCGATTGTCTTCTTTGTCTTCAGGTCTTGGAAGACAACCAAATGGGTAAAAGCTTAATAAACAAATAAGGGCTTTACTGAGCATGCTATCATATAAAAGGTCAAGTAGGAATAGCAGAACGCATTGTACAAAAGATATACTCAAGTAGTAGGATTAATATACCCACTTCTTACTTCGAAACATGAATTACCATCAACAAGCTTTGCTGAATATCATGAGTAATCATGTCTAAGATATGAAACAACTCAGACTTACCAATCATGTTAGTGCAAGCAACCAAGTTAGTAACCTAGGAGATAGATTGGATGACACCAACTGGAGATGTTACTTGGATGAACAAATGTAGTAAGGCAGAAGATGGTGGATTAATTTATTGAATTATGTTATTGTGCTCCTTTCAAAACAAATAAGAACCTTCTCTAGACTGCACATGCAGAGTATTTGACGAAAATATAATTGAACCACATAGATTCCCACCAATAATAGAGAATACAAGAGGGAAGAGATTGATGATAGTATTTCACTACAGACACACTAACCACCTTCCACACTCACAATGTGCAATTCGGGCTCACATATGTGTTAGCAACCAAACTAGAATAGACATTCAAATAGACTATAGAATTCAAATTGGTGAAAGAATTGACCCACGGACCATTCACAACCAAATTCTGGTACTATTTAAAGCATCAACCAAAAATTCATTGGCAATGGATGGAATGGCCTTTTAAATATATAAACCAACCTAGCATGTACCAAATCTTCTGATATAGAATACAAGCTCTCTTCAAAATGTTAAACCACCAACTTATCAAAAAGTTTAAGCTATTAGAGGGTGTGTAATTAGGTATTTTGTTAGAGTTTTTATTTATATTATTAGCAGCATAGAGTAATATTGTAATTGTCAATAATATCAGTCTACTATAAATAAGAGGGCGTTGGGAAACATTGCCTACGCAGCTGATTATTCTCTCGTTTTATCTTCCCTTCTTTTATTTTCTCCTCTCTTTTTTTCTAACACTAATATTACTTTTACTTAGGGGTGTCAATTTTTGACTCGANAAGAGGGCGTTGGGAAACATTGCCTACGCAGCTGATTATTCTCTCGTTTTATCTTCCTTTCTTTTATTTTCTCCTCTCTTTTTTTCTAACACTAATATTACTTTTACTTAGGGGTGTCAATTTTTGACTCGAACACGAACCTGACACGAACCCGAAAAAAGACGATTCGTTAACACGAGTAATAAATGGGTCAAATTAAGGTTCAACTCGAGTAACACGATTAATAGATAGTATAGATAGAAAATAATTATTTAATGAGTATTTTAGATAAAAAATAAGAATTTTATAATTTTTATAATTTTTTAAATAGTATTATATTAGTTGTCAAATTAAATAATTTTTTATTAACACGAATATTGACACGAACCCGACACGTACCGAAAGTGATACAACACGAAAATAACATGACTGAAAATGACACGACATGAAACTGNTTTTTTATTAACACGAATATTGACACGAACCCGACACGTACCGAAAGTGATACAACATGAAAATAACATGACCGAGAATGACACGACATGAAACTGATACGACACGACAATTGACAACTGATGTCAACAACAAAGAAGAGTCCTAGAACTTCTACAGTGTATTTCGACGTTATCTAGCCTCAGATCGATGCTCTAATACCAAATTGGCATCATGCTGATGTCATGCACTTTTGGCCATTAGAATCTGCCCCTTGGATTGACTCTTCAAGGGAACACAACCAAAAATCAAAAACCCAATCACCTAAGTACTAGAACTGTATTGAAATTGAGTTGTTGACTTCTTATTGACACACGTTTTAGTGCATCTAATTCAAAACCAATTGGCAATGAGTGGAATAGCCCCTTAAGTATATAAACTAACCATGGTAGGTCCTAATTATTCGAAGTGAGATTTAAGCTCTCTTAACACCCTCCCTCATGTGGGAGCCTAGCTCGCACGTGGGGCCAATAGACAAATAAATAACCATGCATATTGGGAAAATTCAAATAGGTAGGAGGCTTGTCCTGGTGTTCACATATGGTCCAGCTTTGATTCCATGTTAGAACATTTTACTCAAAACCAATTAGTAATGAATCGAGTAATCCCTCAAGTATATACACCAACCATGGTTGGTCCTAATTATTTGATGCAGGATACAACCACTGTTAACAGCACCTACACATAGAAAACCAATCAAATTGAGATGGGTTAGTCAACAAGTTCTCTTAGACTCTTAGTCAGGCCTTGCTGGGGTAAAAACATCCATCAAGGAGCTTCAAATCTCGTCTAGGAAGGAGATCGAAAAATTGAGGCCAAAAATTTCCAACGACATTCAAAAAGAGAACTCGATCTAGATGGCCTCAAACATTAGGACAATGAGTTAATCATGGGTGTAAGGTTTGGTCGTCGGGAAATGTTGACGTCACTTTCTGGCTGTGATGCCAACGATGAACCTTTAGATTGTCCGGCTTCTCCTTGTGATTTTTTTTTATCGGATCTCGCTGTGGTTCTAAGTTAAATTAGCATAATCGGGATTAGGGTTTGGGAAGAGAAGGAAAAAAAGAAGAGAGAAAAGATTGAGAAGAATAATATGGGTGTGTAAAAAGTCCTGCTCTACAAGCCTCTTATTTAGAAGGTATGTTTGGGGTAGTTACAATATTTGCTTACATTTGCTAATTATGACTAATACATAAAAATAAATAAATAAATAAGAACTCCAACAAGATCCATTGAATTTGAATTAGGCATGCAAGCAAAAATAAAAACTGAAATCCCAAAATTTCAGTTTAGGCATTAGAATGGTCAATTTTGGAAGAAAACACATCCACACGACACTTTCAGGTGCGTGAATCTGGCTCTTCATCAGTTGGGACAGAAATCCCAAAATTACAGGAGTTTAAATGTAGGTTTCATATAAGAAGGTAAACTGTAACTGGGTCAAACCACACGGAGGTAATTTATAATTTACCCTTTAACGAAAATCAGTTGAATGTTATTATGTAATGTTTAGTCCATTGATGCTAGAAATAGTTTATTCATGNCAGGTGCGTGAATCTGGCTCTTCATCAGTTGGGACAGAAATCCCAAAATTACAGGAGGTTAAATGTAGGTTTCATATAAGAAGGTAAACTGTAACTGGGTCAAACCACGCGGAGGTAGTTTATCAGTTACCCTTTAACGAAAATCAGTTGAATGTTATTATGTAATGTTTAGTCCATTGATGCTAGAAATAGTTTATTCATGTACGTGTTTAGTCCATTTATACTAGGAGGAGGTAGTTTCTTTGTGTACTTGTTTAGTCCATTGATTACAGAAGTAGTTAATGATGTACATGACCTGCACAAATACCAGACTCCATAAACTAAAGTTTCCAATGGTCTCTCTCCCTATACACCCCCATGTATACATTTTAGACATTAGCTTCCATGGTAACTTCNGTAGTTAATGATGTACATGACCTGCACAAATACCAGACTCCATAAACTAAAGTTTCCAATGGTCTCTCTCCCTATACACCCCCATGTATACATTTTAGATATTAGCTTCCATGGTAACTTCAAGATTTTGTTCTGATCATATGTACATATATCAGTGTTATTTAAGGCGCAAATCGGCCTCCTGAGGGCCTAGGCGAGAAGCGAAATGAGCGCTTCATTGAAGCAAAGTGAATAATATANACATTAGCTTCCATGGTAACTTCAAGATTTTGTTCTGATCATATGTACATATATCAGTGTTATTTAAGGCGCAAATCGATCTCCTGAGGGCCTAGGCGAGAAGCGAAATGAGCGCTTCATTGAAGCAAAGTGAATAATATGAAAAATAAGCAAATATTTTAGTTTGATACTTTGATTATTCCTAAATACTCAAGTTTTAACTTTACAAATATAAAATATTTAAATGCAATCAAAATAATAAACATCAACATATTTTAAATAGATAAAATATTAAATATTGAACATTATTGCATTTTAAAAATAATCAATTAACATAATTACACAATCTAAATGNATAAACATCAACATATTTTAAATAGATAAAATATTAAATATTGAACATTATTGCATTCTAAAAATAATCAATTAACATAATTACACAATCTAAATTTAAAGCTAACAAACTTGGGTTCGACTTCTACCGTGATTGATTAATATCACCACTAAATAAGACATTCACAAATTGATTAATCAAATAGAGCATATAGCAAATTGATTAATCAATTTGATTAAGAAGAGTATTAACATCAAAACAGAGCATTTAACATCATCTAATAATAATAAAATAGATTGTTATATGATACTGTTAGATGAATCAATCAATTTATTTTATATATATACACATATAACATCATCTCTGCTAGGGATTGGTTAATGTTAAGGAAGAAGACGAAGGATTTTTTTTTTTTTTTTTTGGGGGGGGGGGGGAGGAGAAGAAAATAAAAAAAATTGCCAAGCATTCATTTTTTTCACAGGGCTCGCTTCGTCGCCTAGGCTTGCTTTTACATCGTTTTATTTAACCTCGCTTTGCCTGAGATAAACAAGGCTTGCTTCGCTTCTCGCCTCGGCTCTCACTTTTCACAACATATTATATATATACCTATACATATATTATGCATTTCAAAATATGTTTTCCTGGATCATATTCTGCTCCTATTTGGAAAAAAAACCCTGTTAAATTCAGCCTCCTGGAATGATCTGTTGACCATTCTTCTTTCTGTTTGACATTGTTCATGGTGCAGACATTCCAGGAGTCACTAATGGCAGCTGGAGCTGGAATTTCCTTGGTTGATTTAGTGGTGATGTCTCAATCTAACACGTTAGTCTCTTCATGATGATCTTTCCCACTTTCCCCCCTCCAATTCAGTGGATGTGTTTCACTTTTTGTTGATTAAATACTGCTGCTACATGTCTAAGGATGACTGTGCAGTCTTTCATTTTCTGACAGGAGTTAACTTGATTCAAAAAACAAGTCTCACCTTATGTGTGATTATAAGCTGGTCTAACTCTTGAAAGCTTACCACACAAAAATTCTATATATGCAAATTCAGGTAGCGGCATCAAATATTAGCCAAGATCCTCCCATAGGTTTTGCTTTGGTACGACCTCCAGGTCATCATGCTGTGCCAAAGGGGCCAATGGGATTTTGTGTTTTTGGAAATGTGGCAATTGCAGCTCGCTATGTTCAACGGGTGCATGGATTGAAGCGCGTGTTTATTATTGATTTCGATGTTCACCATGGAAATGGAACGAATGATGCTTTCTATGATGACCCAGATATATTCTTTCTTTCAACTCACCAAGTAAGCCATAATTTGATGCTGCTCAAGAATTGCATCTCACCTCTTTTTTAAGTTTCAAGTTGTTCTGCAACTTTATCAATATGACTGGCTCAATGATTCAACTGTCTATTTCTGCTCTGTAATTTTCAGTGTTATCATTTAATTTTTTTAGTTGGAAGTATCTAAGAGTAGGCAACAAAGATCTATAATCGTAGTCAGTAGTCACTAATTATGCTGTTGTCTACGTCCTCTGGACGTTGAGAATGCCAACAAATTTTAGTAGGTAAAGTGGAGACCAGTATTTAGAGCTATCACACAATACATAGTTCATTTCAAATTCATTTCTATTGAGTAATGGGGTAGCATGGGTTTCCTCAATGCCTGAACCATTTTTCTTTGCCTTATCACGTGTTTTTGCCCTTCCCAACTATTGGTGAGGTAGGGGCAATAGAGTCATTACCCTATTCCATATGTGTAACTATATAATTCTCTCTATTATCAATTGCAGTTGGTTTTTCTCTTATATTCAACTACGTCTCTTTGTCTCTCTTTCGTCGTCTTCTTCTTTCTTTGATATACTGTTAACATGGTATCAGAGCCACGCATTGGGCCTAGCCGTCAGGATGGAAATCATCACTGTTGACTCCATGTTCGTCATCGAGGTGGAATCGTTGATTGCCGACCACCTTTGAGTTGTTGTTATTGATTCTTCGTCAAGGTGGAGTCGTTGTTTGCCATCATTGAGTTGCTGTTGTTGATGATTGATTAAATTGATCACCAGAGGTTCAACACAGTGCAGTTGAGTCGAAGAGGCTATTGGGTTTGATTGTTGTTGAGTGTCACTGGGTTGATGCCGTTTTGTTGCTGACCAGAGGCATCGGTAGGGATTTCATGTTTGGCAGCAACAGATGTTGATGACGATACCCAACGTCAATAGGGTTATGTTATTTCCTTTTATGCTGGATTTGGGTTTTGATGTTATTCAACCCAAATCTTGTTAAAGCCCAAGTCTGTTTGATGTCAGGAGATCAGAACTTGTTCGAACCACTACAACCTAGAAAGCATGGATACTTGTCGGGGGGTCGCTGTGGCAGTGTAGGACACGTGTCCGACACGGATACGCGTGTCTGACGGTCGGATACGTGTCCGACACTTGTAGAAGTCTCCTGAACAGTGGCTGTCATTTTTTTTGGTCGGATACGTGGGGGATGCGGCGGGGTACTTTTGTTATTTTAAAAACTTTGGTGGGTCGAAACAAAAAAAAAAAAAAAAAAAAGGCCAAAGCTATGTCGTTTTGGCTTGAAAAAGAAAAAATTAAAGCGTCGTTGATCTGTGAACCGACTCCAATCGACATTCGGTGCGTTCGAGAGAGAGAGAGAGAGAGGAGAGGAGAAGAGGAGCTCGAGAGGACCAGAGGAGGAGAAGAAGAAGGAGAGGGAAAAGGAAGGGCGACTCACCTGTGCCTGCGATCGCGCTCTGCGACTGCGATCTTCTTCTTACTTCTATTTTTTTTTTTTCAGATCTACTGCCGCTCTTAGCTCTTCATCTTCTGGTCTGTGTGGAGTGTGGACTTTCAAAAAATTTGATTAGGTTAATTTGATTGGGGATTTTTAGGGTTTTCAAAATTTGGGGATTTTGTTTTGGTCCGGTTTTGTGTTGCTTGCTGCATTCGGGATTTTTTTTGGTTTTGGCCATCAGTGTTGCTGCCTTTCTGTGCTAGTGTGCTGCTGCCAACTGGTTTTAAATACTGAAAATTACTTTCCTACCTTGCTGTCTTTCGGTGTTGTGTTGCTTGCTGCCCGCTGGTCTTCTCCTTTTTGTTGTGCTTCGGTCCTCTCTTTTTTTGTTATGCTTTCCTAGCTAGTTTTTTTTGGTCATCTGTGTTGCTGCTTTCTGTGCTAGTGTGCTGCTACCTGCTGGTTTTGAAAATTATATATATTTTTTGAATTTTGATCTATTTCAATTTAAGTAATGTTTGCTATGTCTTGTTTGTTATTATTAATGTTGTTGTTATATATATAAAAAAATATATAATTATTTTAATTAGCCGTATCCTCGCCGTACCCATATCCTGCATTTTGGAATTTTGCCGTATCGTCGTATCTGTATCGTATCGGATACAACACCCCGTATCCGTATCCGTATCCGTGCTTCTTAGACTACAACTTAAACCAATCCGGTACAGTTTACCTCAGACCCGTTCCTCTCTATTCTAGGCCGGTTCAGACCACTTACATCCGGTTCTGCGTGGTTTAGACCACTTCAGGTCCATCCCAGGCCAGTTCAGCCATTGTTCAGGCTTCCTCTGCTTCGTTCTGCTTCCTCTACTTTGTTGCTGTCCAGTACGTATTTTGGTTGCTGTCCAGATCAGTAGCATGTAAGTTTGCTGCTCCCAGTAATTTTCTTCTACTGGATCCTCTAAGTTTGCTGTTCAGTAGCACTTATTTTGGTTGGCTGTGGTATTTTGGGTTACAGTAGGTTTACAATAGGGGGTTGTTGCTCCACTAAGTTTGCTGCTTTCTTCTACTGGATCTTATATTTATGGATGCAAATAAGTCTAATTCTAGTGTTGGGGCTGAGGTGAGTCATGATTTTACTAGCCTATCTATTACATCTATTAAGCTAAATGGCAATAACTAAGTGCCATGGTCTCGTTCTGTTGAAATTTATTTTGACTGTGAAAAATAGTTGAATCTGATGCCAAGCTTAAGCAGAAGATGGAGAATGCCCAACTGATGAATTTATTATGGAATTGTATGGAACCTCAGATTAGCATTCATATCAGGTCTCTTGAAACTGCTAAGGAGGTATGGCTTCCGGTTTGTCAATTATTTTTAGGAGAGGATAATATTTCTGGAATTTATCAATTGTTTTAAGATTTGTTCAGTTTGGAGCAAGGTAGCATTGTAGAATACTATTCTTCTCTTTAAAATATTATGAATAATCTTAATGCTTATCAACCCCTTTTTACTAATCTGAAAGTTTAGAGAAAGCAACGTGACGAGTTAATGGTTGCTCGCTTTTTCTCAGGCTTAAAATCAAAATTGGAATCCGTTCGTGCTCAGATTTTGACTAGTAAGGATATTCCTTCCATAACAAAAGTTTTTTCTCATATTCAACGAGCTTCCTTCAATGATAGTGGTGTTTCTATATTTGTTCGCTCGACTTTAGGTGTACTTCCTAATCAAGGGAATAAGAATTTCTCTCATGATACCATTTTTTCGCAGTGAATGGAAATTGGGATGGTCGACGAGGAGGTGATCATTGGCCAATGAATAGTCGTGGTGGTAGAGGTCGTGGATCCGTGAAACTATGTATTCATTGTGGACTTAAAGGTCATACTATGGATTATTGTTGTGATCTGCATGCAAGAATCAAAATATCGTTTTGAAACGGTCGAAACATCCGAAACATTTCCGTTTTCAAGGAGACCGAAACGAATCAATGATGGAATCGAAATTCTAATACTTTGAGATATTCTATAATGTTTTGAAATATTTTGTAATATTTCAATGTATTTGCACAATTATTTAAGAATATTTTAAAGTATTTCAAGATTTTTTGATATATTTCGACCAATGTTTTGAAAAAATAATTCTTAAATTTTTATTATTTTTCATTATGTTTTCGAAACGGATCGAAACATTTCTGAAACATGTCGAAACGTTTACATTTTTTAAGTGACCGAAACAATGCACCGCAACGAAATTTTGATCCTTGTCTGCATGGCAAACCCGCTCATGTTGTGTCTTCATCAGATGAGTTGGGTTTAAGACAATCTGGTGTTAGTGAACCTACATCCAAATCATAGATTATATCTATGTATAAGGAGGAGTATAATCGACTTGTTTCCAAGTCTGGGCCTTTGCTGTCTACTTCTACTTGCACCGCCACTTTGGCCCAATCATGTAAAGCATGTTTGTTGTATCATTTAGTGTTTTGAAAAGCGTGCCTAGGCAAGAAGCAAAGCGAGGTGAGGCTATCTCGCCTGGAGGACCCCAAGCGAAGTAAAAAAAAAGCGAGAAAAAACAAAAAAGCGAAAAAGCGTTTGCTTTATTATAAGAGACGAAATTGTTTTATTTTTAATTTGAACCGTTGAATTGGGCGATTGAAAAAACAAATTATAAGATGAGATATACTGAATTATCCCCTTATCTAATAAATAAAACTCCAAACCCTAATTTAAATCAGATGTCTTCGCTACTCGTTGCTCACGCTGGACTCCTATACGATCGATTTCTTCACTGCTCGCTGGACTCGATCGACGGAGACTCTCTGTCGCTGCTCCTACAAGATCGACAGACGACCACTGCGGCACCATCGCTGCTACACGATCGCTCCACCTTCGCTAGACACAGGTTAGTCTCTCTTCTTCTTTTCTCATTTATTTCTCTTTTTTTCTTCTCTCTTCTATTCCTTTCTCACCGATTCTGCTCTTTTTATTTTTTTTTATTTTTTTTGATCGCAAGTTAGTAGTCTCATGGTTCAAAGACTCGGCCCCTACTGATCCGATATTGATACACGTTATGAAAAAATTCCAATTTTTATTTGACTCGGCGATATTTCGGCCAGACTCGGACGTATTGGCACAAATCGGAGTAATTTGGTGGCAACTCGGTATGAATCGAACGATCCATAGCGGAATCGATCTGATATGATCGAGTCTTGTGGAAAATCTCCAAAAACTCGAACAAATAGCAAGAATCTAAAATAAAAAGGAAAAAGATGATGAACTTCAAGACCCAAATCTGTAAAAGGTTACAAGCCCTGAACTAGTCCAAAAATAAAATGCTCATTGCCAAAAAGATTGTAAACATTTGTAAGACATACCTCTAGCCCTAATCGTCTTCCAGGGATCGCCGGTGGGTTCTTCGAATCCACTTTCTGATTCTTCTCTCTCTCAGTCTCTCTCTCTCGATCGATCGATCGATTGATACACAACATCTAAACTCAGGAGTCAGGACCCAAGTCTCAAACAGAGTCTTTTAAAGACTCTGTTGTCGGTGACTCCATTGTTTTTTAGGATAATTACATCCATACTCCCTGACATTTGTTATTTATTTATTTAGACCCCTAACATTTAAAATATTATACAAAAATCCTAAAATTTGTGAGCACGGTTGTTAATATATCCGTTAATAAATTATATTCAGACCCCCTAAAGTTTGTAAACATATATTATTTAGACCTCTTAAGTTTAAAATGTTATACTTAAACAAAAAATACTTCAATCAAAGATAGAATATCAAATATTTTAAATTTTACAATTAAAATTTATATTCTATTATATCATTTATTGAAATAAAATCAAAAATAAAAATTCAATTTTTTCTTAAAAAATTATAATTAGTATACAATTATATTTTCTTGTCAGGGGGTTTGAGTAATTAAGTGACAAACTTCAGAGGGTCTGGGTGTAATTCTCCTATTATTTTTTAATTTTCTTAATTTATTTTAGCGTGGTTAATTTATTTTTATTTATAGGCAATTGATTTTTGGGTTTACTTTTTGCCAAAATTTACTTGGAGTAATTTTACTCTTTGATAAATCATTAAAATATTTAATGTAATGATTAAATACATCAATATTTTTTAAAAATAAAAAATATCAATATTATTTAATCCTAAAAAACATCAGTACTTTTTAAATTTAATGTAATAATTAGATATATCAATATTTCAATTTCAATAAGTTGAATATTGATAATGATCAATATTTTTGGTAACGCCCTTATGTTTTATTTTAATTATGTTTAATGTGTTTTTGGATTTATTATGGGCATATGATACATGAATGATGATGTTTATATTTTTTAGAATTTTTTATGATTTTTTCAAATTTTTTTAGAGCTTGTATCTAGCGTTTTGAGCGTATCGGCCGATACTACACTCCGACCGATGTGTATCAGTGCCCTCCGAGTTGATGATTGATACCGCGACTTTGAACCATGAGTAGTCTCTTTTATTTTTTAAACACTGATGACTTTTTTTTTTTTTACGATCGCTGGTCTTTTTTTTTTTTTTTTCTTCTGATAAGCAATGCTCCAAATAAAACACATTTCTTTTTTTCCTTGTGTTGTTGTCCAGTCCATATGAAGATCCCACACAAAAGTCATTACAGCTTTTTAAGCACGGATTATAGTTTAGCAGTCGATGCCGAATGTACATTGAAATAAGGAAGGTTTTTTTTTTTTTTTCTTATTGATATTAATGGAATTAAACGTTTAAAAGAATTATACAAACAGATGAAAACTCAAGACTTAATGCATTCGGTACATGTGAAATATGAAATTGTTTACAATTGTTATGAAATGTTATTTAGTATATGTGAATGTGTCCCTGTTCTGCTTTTTTTATTCAGTACATAATTACATATGAAATTGTTTACAATTGATTCTGCTTCTGTCATGATCATTATGATTGTTTAGAAGTAATTAAATTAAAATATTTTTTTTAACTGTTCGCTTCGCTTCAGTAAAGCGTGTCACTTCGCTTCTCGCTTCTCGCTTCTCGCCTAGGCGTTAGGAGCCTTGGTCGCTTCGGTTCGCTTTACGCCTTAATAACACTGGTATCATTCATCTACATCGTCTCCATGGGTCATTGATTTTGGGGCCTCTGATCATATGACATGTAATGAGAGCGTATTCTCAAGTTTTCATCATATTTCTACTCATCAACATGTTACCTTAGTTGATGGATCTCCATACTCGATCTCTGGTGTGGGCAATGTGAACCCTACTTTATCATTATCTTTATTCTCAATTTTACATGTTCATAAATTTTCATTCAATCTGTTATCAGTGAGTCAACTCACTAAATCTTTAAATTGTTCAATCACGTTTTATCCTTCTTTTTGTGTGTTTTAGGACCTCCAGACAAGGAAGATGATTGGTGGAGGTCATGAAGACAATGGTCTTTACTATCTTAATACAGGCTCAGCTTGTAACTCTGTTTTGCACACTTCACGTTCTCCACATTAGTGGTATTGTCAGCTTAGTAATCCTTGTTTGCGAAATCTTCAACAGTTAGTTCCTTAGTTGTGTCAGTTGTCGTCATTAGATTGTGAGTCATGTCAGTTCAGTAAACATGTTCGGAGTACATTTTGCTCCCAAAATTTGTAATTGAGTCTCTAGTTTATTTGAAGTTGTTCATTATGATATTTGGGGTTCTAGTCGTATTTCTTATTATTCGGGGTTTAAGTATTTTGTTACATTTGTAGACGATTTTTCCAAGATGATCTGGTTATTCTTAATGAAAGATTGTTTTGAATTATTTTCTTTTTTTAAATCCTTTATTATGGAAATCAGGACTCAATTTTGTCTGTTTGTGCACACTTTACAATATGAAAATGCAAAAGAATATCTTTCTCACCCATTTTGTGATTTTTTCACTACTCATGGCTTGCTCTGTTGCACTTCATAAAGTGGCACACTACAACAAAATGTGGTTAGCCGAACATAAAAATCGTTACCTCATTGAAGTTGCTCGTGCTCTTCTATTTCATATAAAGGTTCCTAAAATTTTCTAGAGTGATGCTGTACTTACTGCATGTTACCTTATTAATTTAATGCCTTAGTCTGTTCTTGATAATCAAATTACCTACACACTTGTCTTTCCTGATCGTCCTTTGTTCTCTATTCCACTACGTGCCTTTAGTGGTGTAGACTTTGTTCATCAGATACATCTTGGCATAGACAAACTTGATCCTAAATCTATCAAGTATATTTTCTTGGGTTATTCATGCACACAAAAAAGGTATAAGTGCTATAATCCAACCCTTCATTGTCAGTTTATTTGTGTTGATGTTGAGTCTGCTACTTTCTTTTCTAGGCTTCAAATGATGTTGCACTCGAGCAGTGTCTCCTTCATTTGCCTCTTCTTGTTTTGTCTGCAAAACCTCCTATAACGGAGGTGTACTCTCGTTGCCAAAAGACTATTGCTTCGATACCTCTGCCACTCTCTCAACCGTCCAAAGGTCTTGAACTCCAGTCATTTCTGGATGTTGATCAACCTATTGCACTTTGAAAAGTTAAGTGCTCTTGTACCCTTCTAGTTCTACTGCTCATCCTATTGACTAGTTTCTGGAAGATAATAGCTTATCTTCCACCATTCGTTATTTTACTTCATCTATTTTGTCTACTTCTGTACCTCACACTGTTCATGAAACTCTTGTTCATCCTGAGTGGCGTCAGGCTATGGAAGAGAAGCTCACTACTCAATTAGATGTCAAAAATACTTTTTTGCATGGTGAATTTAATGAGGAAGTTTATATGAAGCAACCCAAGGGGAGTCTGNGTTTATATGATGCAACCCAAGGGGAGTCTAGTGGTTTGGTATGTCGATTAAAGAAGGCAATATATGGCCAACAAATTCCTTTGAGCTTGGTTTGGAAAATTTAGTGAAGTAGTGTTACACTTTGGACTTTGGACTTCAACGGTGCCAAGCAGATCACTCGGTGTTTAGTAAGAATTTTGAATCTAGCACGATCGTTTTAGTTGTCTATATGGATGATATTGTTATCATGGGGAGTGACAGTGAAGGTATTATTGCTCTAAAAACATTCTTCCAGTGAAAGTTTTATAGATCTAGGTAAGTTAAGGCCCTTTCTTGGAATTGAGGTAGCTAGATCCAAGTGTGTTACTTAGACATCCGGAAAGTTGCAGACGACTAGTGGGAAAATTGAATTACTTGACTATTACAAGGCCATATATCTCTTTTATGGTTAGTGTTGTAAATCAGTCTATGCAATCACCAAGATTACCTCATTGGGATACAGTGATTAAAATCTTGAGATATTTGAAAAAGGCATAAAGCTTAGGGATTTACAAGTATTGTACATTCTTAGGAGGAAATTTGTGACTTGGAAAAGTAAGAAATAGAGTGTTGTAGTCTGATCTAGTGTTGAGGCAGAATATAGGGCAATGACTCAGACTACGTGTGAATTGATATGGCTAAAGAATTTATTGCATGAGATTGGAATTCCAGTAACCTTTCCAATGCAATTATTTTGTGATAATCAGGCTGCACACCATATTGCTTTGAATCTAGTTTTTCACGAATGAACAAAACATTGAGGTTAATTGTCACTTTGTTCATGAAAAGCTTCAGTGTAAGGTGATTACTACATGTTTTGTGCAATCTGCAGATCAATTGGCAGATATTTTCACCAAATCACTCAATAGAGATAAGTTTGGTATTCTTTGTTCCAAGCTAGGACTATTTAATATCTTTTCTCTAGCTTGAAGGAGGGTGTTAGTGAGATAGGGGCAATATGGTCATTACCCTTATTCTTTATGTGTAACTATATAACTTTCTATTATCAATTGAAGGTGGTTTTTCTCTTCTATTCAATTACATCTCTCTCTCTTTCTCTTTCTCTCTATCTCCTTATTCTTCTTCTTCTTCTTCTTCTTCTTCTTCTTTCTTTAATATATTGTTAACACCAACATACATCACATCTTTTGCAATGAATATCACATTAGAATGTCAATCATGTCAAATGAACTTGTAAACTTTTTATTACCTTCTGGAAAATAGACTTGTATACTTTTAAGTTGTGTTATAGACTTGTTTAACAATAATATATTCTCTTTCTCCTTTCACTCTTCTTTCATTGATAAAAGTTTTCAAAATTTTTTTTGCATTTGTATATAAATTCGTATGCGTATTTAAAATTATGTTACATTCATGTCATATGTTTGATGTAATGCTTACTTCTTTTATATTACTCCAAAAAGAGTAATAGTTCGAGCGTATAAGATAACAGAAAAAGCAAAAATAGATAGTGTTCCGTTTCGGGTGAGGACACTAACTAAAGATTTGACTCAAGGTTATCAAGATTGCAAGTCAATTGGGTAGGTGGTACGGGTATAGGTGTGGGGTACATTACTTTTTTCAGTGTGCAGTGCGGTGGGTAGACTTAGCTGGTATGCTATTTTTGGTTGCGCTTCACTTTGAACTATTATTCGGATCGTTTTCATTTCTACAAAGAATTATATAAATTTATACATTATAAATATAATCAATTGCTGCTTGTTTTAAACCTATAATAATTTGCTCACTCTTATTTTATTTATATATGTATAAGATATCATTTAATTAACATTTATTTTGTATTTGCTGTACGAATTTAAAGGCAAATCAAGACCAACAACAACACATCAACATATAATCATGTATAAAAATGTAATGGTTGCATATTTTATTATCAAAAAAAGACAGAAGATAAATTTAAAGACTTAAAATTTTAAAAATAACATACAAAAGAGTGATTAAATAGCTTCTTATTTGAAGCACAAATCAAAATAACACTCTTAAAGATCTAACAAGTCTCAAATAAAAATTACTTAATAATAAGAAAAAATTGGAGCACATAAATTAATTGTCAACTCTTTTCTCTTTATCTTTTGTAGTACTGCCTCTTTTTGCAAAGTTACTAATTTGAGTCTAATGCAGTCCGGAATGACGGAATGGTGGCCTGGTACAACTAGTAGGTGGCTAGTCAATAGAGACAAGTATAGAAGCATGTAAGGATGAAGCTTCTCGATTTTCGTCTCTAGCAATGGTAGAACTATCTGTATTGTCATCTTCTAAGGACTTTCATCGCAAATCCTCTAATCTCACACTAGAATCATCTATATATGTGTGCTTTGGATTTATATTATATTTCTTAAAAAGACCATCTTTGTAACTTTCACTGAAACATGATTGGAGACGAATATTTGAATGGATTAAAATCAATTTGTCAGTTCTGGTAAAATTCAATCTGTTTCTCTTAACATTGTGAATAAATGAATACGTGTTCCAATTTCTTTCACCTGAAGAACTTGTAATTGGTTGTGATAACACCTTTTATGAAAAAATAATAAAACACATTAATAATGATAATTAACAATAGAAATAAATAACTTGTAATTTAAATTAGTATCTTTTTCGCTACATCTGTTAATTCTAGAGTTTCTAAATCATATGTTGACCACCCATCAATAGTATCCATGGTCACAACATTCGTTTGAGTAGCCGCCATAGCATAAAAGACCGTTTCACGATTGAATGTGCATACTGTTCTCGTAATTGTTTTGCTTCTTCTACATCTTCTGCTATCTTTTCAAAAGCTTCCATAATACCTATGATGATCTCCCTATCTTGATTTAGAATTTTCCTAATTGTACCTCCCGGTGCTAGCTTAGTAAGATATTGAGTATCATAAAACCGTGGTATTAGTGCAAACCCAAGACAATGCGAAGGAATAGTCATCTTCTCCCATCTGTCAAGTACAATTTTTTTCAATCTAGGGATATTTATCAATGTGTTTTCCACCCTTCTTAATATCTTTTATTTCACCAAACATACTGGCCATATTTTCATAAATCTCACCTACTTTTTGACCTTTCTCATCACAAAATTTAATAAGAAAAAATATGGGCTTTGTGATACTTATGTTATTCTCCACATCCTCTTAAAATTCTTCGCTAATAACGGTTTTTGTAATTAAAGCACTTAACTTCTTTTTGTGTTCATCCTCAGATTTCACCAATTCTTTCCATGACTCGAGAACAATGGTAGTTGCAAGGGACTCTTTATGGTCAACAAGTTACTTCAACAAAATATAATGCGATGCAAATCTAGTGTTAGCCACTTTTAATAGCTTCAATTTAGACTGAGCCCTAAACATAGCCAAAGCATGTGTATGGTTTAAGAAATATTTAACAATAGCCTTTCCCCTTCTATAAGTATTTCTAAACCACTCAAATTCCTTTGTAAAGTCTTTAAAAATTGATTCAGAATATGAACAACACAAGGAGTCCAAAATATGTGTTTGTGTACCTTTTTCACCTCTTTCCCTGCAAGTTTACAATTTGTTGGTTATCGTTCACTACTTGAATGACATTTAGTAAATCTACTTCTTCGGTGGCTTTCAACAAAAAATCAACAATTGTTTTATTTGCTTTTTCTATCCCTGAAAAATCCTCAGCATATAAAAACATAGCTCAATGACTATTTACAGTAATAATATTAATATGTGGTTGATGCTTCACATTAGTCCACCCATTTGATACAATGTATACCCTATTAGAATATCATGTATCTTTAACCGGAATCAAATCTTTTTCAACATTTCTTTTGCACTCATTCAATAATGTAGTTTTTGCTTTTCATAGTTGAGAGCAATCATCTCATTGAATTGAAGATTTCTCAGCACATTGAATGAGATTCCATTAGCACAAAATTCCCTCATGACCTTCAATTCAACAATGTCTTGATTTATTATTTTGAATGCATCTTAAATTGGTCTTGTCATCGGCGAAGGTTGCCGCTTTATCAATGTAGAATTTTTTAGGGATGAAGGGACTCCTATTTTTTCTTTTTGTTTGTACTCTTCTTGCAATTTTGCATATTCAATCAAATTATTCATCAACGCTTGACACCGTTTAATTTATGTTTTTTTCCCAGGTGGGGCACTAAAAAAGTGATAATGCATTCGAGTATACGAACTTGTAAATTTACCACCGCAATGCTTACATGACCAACTCTTTGATCCCCTAGATTTTTTCCTTGAGTTACACCAATAAGATTGACTTCGTTGAGTAATGGTTTCAATTTTGCATCAACTTGTAATTGATCTTCCTGTGTACGATTTGTTTGTGGTTGCCTAGTGTTATTTTCTTCCGTTACTTCAATATGTTTGACTTCTTGTTCATCAACAGAATCATCGAAATTTTGAATTTTATTTCCGAATTGTTCTTCAACCTGAAAAGAGTTTTTTTCTTTCTTCCTTTTCCCAAAAATCATTTTTTTAAGTAACAAAAATTCAATACAGTAGAGAGATATTGAATGAATAATGGATAGTAGAAAAAGAGAGGCAATATAGAGTTGTAGAGTAAAAATCTGAAAAAAAAAAATATATATATATATATATATATATATATATATATTTGTTTATCCAAAGTGTGTTATCACATGTCTTATAAAATAAAGGGTTTCTTTTGTCTGNGTGTTCAAGCCAGATATTATTCTTGTTTCAGCAGGGTGATTTGCTTCCCTATGTATTACATAAATAATTGTGAACTTACTTAATTTAACAATGCATTCTATTCATTGTTGTTGGTCTCGGTGACGAAGTAGATGGGTCGCATAAAGAAAAAACAATTACGTGTGGAAAATTTTGTGGACTGAAAGCATTCTTTTCAGTTATGGTTTAGATATTGCTTCTTTGCAAATTTAAACATTGAGTGCGTTTGTGGATATATCTCTAACATAAAAAGGGTCTTCGTGTATTTTGCACTCTTAATGATGACTTCCATAATAATAGCTTACATGAAGTTGTTGCCTTTAGTTCACTTATTCTAAAACTACATGTAATCAAACCATTTGCAGTTACGATGGTCATGTATTGGATCCACTAGCCAATCTGCAATTCACAACCGGGACATACTACATGCTTGCTTCTAGCATCAAACAACTCGCTAGAGATTTATGTGGGGGCCGCTGCGTGTTTTTCTTGGAAGGAGGATACAACCTCGGTTCCCTGTCCCATTCAGTTGTTGACTCATTCCGTGCTTTCCTTGGGGAACCTAGCTTGGCAAAGGAGTTTGATGATCCTGCAATCCTGTATGAAGAACCATCAAGTAAGGTAAAGCAAGCAATTCAGAGGGTCAAGAACATACATTCCCTGTGAAACAGTATAAAACTATAGGAATTTGTATGAAGCCACGTAATCTTATTTCAATTTTGTATATAATGCTGTTCTAGTATAGGCCATGCTTCGTTTTGTGATCTGCCATTAGTTGTACATGGATTCTTGCAAGCAATGGAAACTATATATACTTCTTTAAGTTAATGGTCCAATGACCTCCTAGTTATGCTTTCATAAATAAGAGCATATTTCCGGCTTTTGGTTGACTTGTAGATGCATATTTTGGATTCAAATATAGTTGGAGAATATCCTCTTATCGTTTTAATATTGTTAAAAAGAAGCAGCAAGGTGCTGTTTGTGGTGATAAAAGGACTATAATTCGTCACCATAGAGTTTTATCTTTATTTTTCCAGATAATCTTTTATCCTTTTTTAGTTTTTCTCGGTGGTGAATCTCTTTTTGGGATAGGTTTTTGAGTAAACTACACAAATGACTATTAAATTATAACCCTTGTGTCAATTAAATCATTGAACTAATTTTCTTATCAATTGAGCTCTTAAACTCTAAAATTTGAACAATTAATATCCTTAACTAATTTTCTTGTCAATTGAGCTCTTAAATTCTTTGAATAGTTTATATTTATGTAACATGTTTTTTACACCAGATCGAAGAACTTGTTGATTTGTTTTGTTTGATGGGGGGGGGGAATGAAAGAGGATTAAGTATAGCGTTTCAGTTGATGGGTATAACGAATGGGGTTCATCAATTGATAGGTTGCGAACGAACAGTCTAAATTATCTTTAATTTGTTGTTCGTGTGGTGAGCATGTGAGATATTTCATTTAAAAATCTTAATAGTTCTTGTCATAAAAGGTTTAATTGCTAAAATTTTAGAGTTAAGGGGTTCCATAAAAATTAGTTCAGAGACTTAATTCCTAAAATTTTAGAGTTTAATGATTTAATTGACACAAAAATTAGTTTAGGGGTTTAATTGACACAAGTGTCATAATTTAAGGAACATTTGTGTAGTTTACTCTAGGTTTTTTTTGTAGAATTTCTTCGGTAGTAAAGTTGCAGGTTGCACTTCGTCTAGCAATTATCTTACTTTTGATGTTATATATTCTTGAAGTTCTATTCCTGATTTGAATCATTTGATTAACACATTACCTAAGAATTCAAACGAATTTTTATCTCTTTCATTTTTTAGTGATAGAAATATTCCATGTGTTTGGAATTTTTCGCATAAAGATTTTAGGTGACTCTTATGTTCTTCAGTTTTTTTTTTTTTTTTGGTGAAAAAACAAGAATATCATCTGTATACATAACATAAACTGGTTTAATGTTTTTAAGGAGTTCACCCATCCATCGTTCATAAACCTGGGGTGCTATGTTTTAGCCAAATGGCATGAAGGTCCGTTGATGGTGACATCTAGCTATGCTAAATGTAATTAATGATTCTGATTCTAATGCTAGTTGTATCTGTTAAAAATCAGATTTACAGTCAAATTTACTTTCCTTTGCTCCTTTATTTTGATTGACAAATACATATTTTCAAGAAATAAAATACCCATAAAACTCTAAGCATTCATTCAATCTTTTGTGATTAATAACCATTCTTATTTTTTCTTGTTTGATTTCAATATGTTTGTGTACTATAAAGGTTGGGTAAAAATTAACGAGATAGAGTTATAATTGATATGTAGAAATACGTGCGACCTGTGCTTCTACCTTATTCTATTTAATAGTCTGATAGACATTTTGTTAAATAGTCTTTATATTTTATAGAGATGTGTGCGTGATTAAGAATAGCTCTTTAAAAGTCAATTTCAAGTTTTTTGGATTTTTTAGTTTTAGAAAATTTTAAAGGTGACATGATTCATAATGATCGACCATCTTGACGTTGTTTAATGGATAACTCATCTTTCATGATCATACTACCCCTCCCATTTCGCATGTTTCACTCCCAACGGTCTATCCTTTTCTGTCAATTTTTTAGTATCTATGAAATACGGATACGGATACGGATATAGGTACGATACAATATGATAAAATTTTAAAAAAATAGAATACGGGTATAGCCAAGATATAACTATAATAAAATATATTTAATATTTTTATTATTTTCAACCAACTTAATACTTATATATTTTAATAGTTTTTTAACATACAATAAGGAAAATTAGTAATTTGTTTTAGTTTTAAGAAAATATATATTGTATCGATGTAGTATATTCACAAAGTGAAGTGACTAATTAAAGGAATCAAAACTAATATTTACCTAGTATTTAGAAGTAATTTTTGCTAAGATAATAATATAATAGTTTTATTTTATGGTCTTTTGACATGTTATTGTAGATAATATTTAAGAAACATTCATGTGATTTTGAAGTAATATGAATTTTTTGTTAATGTATTGTATGGTATGTGAATTCGAAAAGAAATATTAAAAGTTCAACTCAAAAATTATATATGCTACTCGACCACAAAAGTATCCGTGAAGTACCATAATATTTAATTATTTTCGAATACGTAGAAGGTGTATCTGATACGTATGCTCGAGTATCCAATGATTATCGTATCCGATACGATATTGAATACAGGTACGTCAATCTCAACGAAGTATCCGTGCTTCATAAAGACATTTTTCTGCGCTTAATGACTTCTCCTATCATACAAGCATCTCACATAGTCTCACTCCCCATCCGCCGCTCTAATTTCTATTTTCTGTTGTCATCTCTATCATCGTCGGTAGAGCTCCGGACAATCACACAAACACTAGATATGAAGACACACAGCCACTGTTGTAAGTTGTGGGTGTATGCGTAATTGCGAGAATGTCTTTATTCTAGATTCTTTTATAGGTTTTTTATGTTAATAGTATATTATTTCTCAATATAGGCTCGAAGTGATGGTCATTCTCCGTCAAGTTTGTCTCCTTGGGTATACATTGGGCATATAGTCAAATGTCTTTGTGGTATAATATTATGCTAATACGTACATTTGGAGGATGAGGGTGGGGGTGGGTGTGGCGTGTTGTCTTCAAATGATTTAGTCTAGAAATGACTTTTTAGGAGAGTAATAAGTTCAGCCAAAATAATTATTACATTTTCTGAAACAAAAAAAAATGAAAAATTCCCTGTTGAAGGGGTTAGCCCTCATGATGGCACGTGTTACAACGTTAAATAATCTCACGTGACCTTGACAAGACCAGTCATGTGACGAGGATATTCATCTAGTCTTGAGGACCGAGTCGAACTGATCAGTTTATTTGACAAACAAAGAAAGAGTTAGGTTCTCTTTATGACTGAGCCCATCAATCTGTTCAGCTAAGCAAAGAAAGAGTTCAGCTTGTACCAAGCCGAGCCTATTAAAGTGTTTGGGAAAAGCGATCGAAGAGAATGGTTTGTGCCAAACCAAGTTCTTAAAACTGTTCGGCAAAAATCAAAAGTGCTTGGCGTTAGATATGTCCGAGCTGGTCAAAATGACAGGTGAAAAAATAAAAATTCGCCTATAATATAGGCAATTAGATGAATGAATCAACAGAATTGTAGATATGGGGAGGATTTGTTGGAGAAATATTAGCAACCTCCCAAACTGAATCACTGAACCTAAGGAAGGTGTGCCACCTTGAATCAAGAATCACAGAAACCCTAAAGAGATAATGATGTATAAAAAGCAGAAGAGACTAAGGTGAAAGGTACGCTAAACTCTCATTATCTTCGTGCAATTCTTTCTGCTCCATTAGTAACTTAAGCATCGGAGTGTTTTCGATCGAAACACATCGATCTTGGGCAGNGGTATGCTAAACTCTCCTTGTCTTGGTGCAATTCTTTCTGTTTCATTACTAACTTAAGCATCAGAGTGTTTTCGATCGAAGCACTTCGATCTTGGGCAATTTGTTTGTTTTGTAGGAAAGAGATTAGGAGATTGTTCAGCCTTCTTTCCCAGAAATCATATCTTGAATTCACGTGTAGAGGTATTACTGATTTTTTGCCTCTACATTTTGGCGCCGTCTGTGGGAAAATCTGTCTTTCAAAACAAAAAGCTACGATGTCAAGGCTCAGAAGTGCAATTAGATCACCCGTAGGCAGTTTTGCCCTGGGAAACTTTGATCCTGCGTCCCTTCCTTCTGACAACGACGCAAGGTTGCATGCAGTCAGAAGCCCCTCCAGAACTCATGAAGGTGACGAGGTATCCTCTACGAGTTTCAAGCCCTCGAAAAATCAGAACCAGCAAAACGAGGATCATGGTAATTCCCTCCGTGCTGAGGGGGATAACCACTCCTTAGCAAAGTTGGTCCAGTCCTTGCAGGATCGACTTGATGCTCATTACAAGTTGTTCAAGAAATCCTACGCTAGGGAGAAAGATCTGATAAAAGAAAATGAAGAGTTAAAAGCCAAGTTGAAAGAGGTGACCAGAAGAGAAAAGCAGGCGAGAAAGGATCGGCATGGAAGTCTGGGAAGGAAGCCTAGCAGGATTAAAAATACGGATGAGAAAGATTACCATCAGCAGAAGCCTCGAATCCAGGAGGAGGACACGTGGAAGTAGTATATCAACGAAGAGCTCAACATTCGCTTGAAGAGACCAGAGCAGAGGTCGATAAGGGACCTAGCCAGCAGAGCAACAGGGGAGTACGGAGACGGTTTGGGGTCATCCCCATTCACTGCCTGGGTCGAAAAGGCACGAATCCCGAGCAAGTTTGTCATCCTGAACTTCAAGTTGTATGACAAAAAGACCGACCCATCCTCACATATCAGGCACTTTCGACAACTAATGACCATCCACCGAAGAAACGAGCCACTACTTTGTACTATCTTCCCTAGCAGTCTTGGGGAGTCTGCCATGAAGTGGTTCGATAGCTTACCGAAAGGAACGATTAACGGGTGGTCTCAATTAGCCGAGCAATAAATAGCCAAAGGATGTTGGGGTTCTCCTGACGCTAAAAAAGAAGAGTAATGAAAGCTTGCGAGAGTATGCACATTGCTATTAGGAAACCATGAATGAAGTCGAGGGGTGCAATCCAGAGATTGCAGTTGCATCCTTCAAGATCAACTTGCCGAAAGAAAACCTTCTATACCAATCGCTCACGAGGAGATCTACTACTGACTTGGAAGAATTGATGGCAAGGATTGAAAAGTATGCCAAGGTTGATGACCACTTATCCAGGGAAGTGGTTAAGGAACATCCAAGTAGGAGATAGTTCAGTAGAGACAAGCAAACCAAGTTGAACAGAGAGGGAGGAAGGAAGTTTGAGAAGGAGGGATATCCCCAGAGG